ATTCCTCCTGTAACATGGCGAAGAGTTGAGTGGTGATTTTGTGGCGCTGTGATCTGGCCCTCAACCGGCGCTCCAACTCATCCCAGAGATGCTCAATTGGATTGATGTCGGGACTTTGGGATGGCCAGTCAAGCTCTTGCACCCCCATTTCATCAAACCAGTCCGTGATGGCATGTGCTTTATGAATGGCAGCGTTATCGTGTTGAAACACAAACGGGCCATTACCGAACTGTTGCCACAAGGTGGGAAGCGCGGAATTGTTCAGGATGTCTCTATACCATTCTGCGTTCAGGGTTCCACGCACTAACACCAAGGGTCCAAGGCCAAACCATGAGAAACAGGAACACACCATAATTCCTCCACCGCCTAACTTCACAATGGGGACAATGCACTCCGGTAGGTACCGTTCTCCGGGCATTCGCCAAGTCCACACTCGTCCATCAGAGTGCCACAACATGTAGCGTGACTCATCATTCCACATAACGCTTTTCCATTGCTCTACTGTCCACTGGCGACGTGCTCTGCGCCACTGAAATCGGTGGCGGGCGTTTGGTGGTGAGATGTTTGGCTTATGTGCTGCTGCTCGTCCATGGAATCCTTGTGCAATCAGCTCCTGACGAATGGTACGTGTACTGGCAACACTGCCGATGCAGCCCGAAAGTTGGTAGCGACAGTGCCCAACGACATTTGTCGGTTTGCCTTCACTACACTTCGAAGAGATCGTCGATCCCTGTCGGACATTATTTTGGGCTTGCCGGGTCGGGACTGCTGTTTTATCACTCCCTCTCGTTCCCATTTCAACACGACGTTACCAACTGTTGACCGTGGTATCTGAAACTTGTCGGAGATGGCACGTATGGAATGACCAAATCGGTGGGCGCCTATGATCATGCCCCTTTCCGCCTCATTCACCTCTCGCCGTCCACTCATTTTCACTGTTTACGCTCGTATGGCCGTTGCCTGCCTGCAAATGGTCTTTCCCCCACCATAGGTTCCGTATTTATTCCACCAGGACGAGTCCACCTGCCTGTCAAGGGGTGTCCGGTCATTAATGGCTAGATAGTGTATTAGATTTTTAACTAATATTATTTAAGAGAAATCTAAAAAAAATATCAGTAAAAGGTTTGTTAAATTCTAAGAGTAGTTTTGTTAAATTATTCTAAATATGTAAACGTTAATTTACATAATCAGATGTTGTAAATGTAAACGTTAATTTACATAATTAGATGTTAAAATGTAAATATTAATTTACGTAATTAGATGTTGTAAATGTAAATGTTCATTTACATAATTAGATGTTGAAAATGTAAATGTTAATTATAAGTTGTAAATGATAATGTAAGAGTGAATTTTGACTAATTATGTTAAATTATTCTAATTACATAAAATGCAAGGTTGTTAAATTTTAATTACATAAAAATGTGCGATAATATTGAAAGTTTGAACAAAATCATTTGAATTAAACATCAGCTTTGAAACCATTTATTTGCTCAAATTTTCGAAGTTATGATACATAAATATGTTACTCCAGAAACATCTTTAAACATTCCAATCAAAATTTTTCCTTGTTATTAAATTTAAATAATTAAAAAAAATTATATTTCTTGTATGAGTTTACTCTATGGTTGAATGACATTTCGTTCGTAATATTACTTAACATGAACTTAAAAACATATGATTTAAGAAATCCAAACTTACGATTAGTTTCTAACTGACTTATTAGAATAATACTTCAAAAAGATTCTTCGTTACAAAACGAAGACTTTAAAAATCGCGACGTATTTTCAGAAATATCAGTATTTTTAACAACATGGTACCATATTTTTCAATTAAATTAATTTATATTATTTTTACATAAATCAGAACTTTCATCACATAAATCAAATTTATCAGCCTACTCCTAATAATATCGTATTCAATCATCATCGATATGAATAATATTTACAATATTTTCTGTTTGATATGTTAATGATAATGATAGTGATATTCGATAATTATAGATGCCAATAATCATTGTAATATTATCGTATTCGATATGTATTGTTAGAGTAATGATCACGATCTTTTCGTATTTGTTGTATAGATGGTTCAGGATCACCTATATTCTCCTCTATACTTTTCACATCTGACTGTCAGCTAAGAGTATGGAACAAAAATTGTAACAATCACTCCAGAACTAAAACATTCCCAAAATTAAAATAATTATAAGTCATTAAGTAATTAATTGTGGCTCATTTGTACAACTATGAATGTTAAACAAATTATTGTACACAAATCAATATATGTCTTTTACATATGTAGACATAGATGGAAAACCCATGGGGATAGAATTTTGCAGGTCATCTATATTTTACCCAATACTTATCACGTCTGACTGTCAGCTAAGAGTATGGAACAAAAATTGTAACAATGACACCAGAACTAAAACATTCCCAAAATTAAAATAATTATAAGTCATTAAGAAATTAATTGTGGCTCATTTGGACAACTATGAATGTTAAACAAATTATTGTACACAAATCAATATATGTCTTTTACATATGTAGACATAGATGGAAAACCCATGGGGATAGAATTTCGCAGGTCATCTATATTTTACCCAATACTTATCACGTCTAACTGTCAGCTAAGATAATGGATCAAAAATTGTAGCAATGACTCCAGAACTAGAACGTTACCAAAATTAAAAAAATTTTAAGTCATCAATAAATTTATTATGGCTTGTTTTGAACAACAATGAATGTTAAACAAACACCCACGTTCTTTTCGCACATATGACGTGCATAGACATAGAAGGTATGTATAAGTAAACTTACCTTTACATATGTTAACTTAGTTTAAAAACTTACATAAGTTAGATATATTGTAAATAGATATGTTTAAAATATTGCATGACTTTAATTTGCTGAAAATAGCATTTAAAGTAGAATTAGAAAGCTAAGTATATGGAGAGAAAAAATTACGATTAAAATATCAAAACAAATTTTCTTAAGAAGTAAGGAAAAGAAATGCCGACAAAAAAACTTCGCTGTGGATAATAATTTACGGTTGTCAGATTTTAACCACTGAGTTATTAGAAAGATTTAAATATGCTAAAAAAAATATCTGAATAAGTCAAAATAGTAAGAGAAAAATTTCATAAAAAGTAGGAAGCAACCATGCCGAAAAAAAATGTGAACAAAACCATAGCAATTACAAGTGTATAGATAAAAAAAAAACTATGACAAATGTGAAAAATTTTTATTTTTTGCTGGCATTTTACTATCCTCCATTACGTGCATCAGTTGGTTAATCAGCATCAGTGCATCAGTTGGTTAACATTGTTATGCAATACGCTAAAAATAAATACAAATAGGAAGCATATAAAAAATCTCCCGAATAAAAACATATTACATGTATGTTTAGATAAAAAAGTATTGCATATAAACTCGTGCAAATCATGTCATTATTAAAACACTACACTGTGTCTAATGATTTGGTCTAATTATTATAATATAATACCTGATATAATACCTGATATAATAAATAATCTATATTTATATAATATATCAGGGGTCTGTCCAGACATTTTGTGAAAGGTCCGTTTTTCGTGAAATTGTGAAAAAATTACTCACATTCTTTCAACCAGGGTCCGCTTTTATGAATTAGTGCAAATAGGGTCCGTTATTGCAAAAAAAAAATTTTTCAAGGAGTTTTTAAATTGTAAAGACATACAAGATTATGCTCAACACTGTAAAATTATAATTAAAAAAATTAAATTTTAAAAAATAAACAACAATTGCTGCTTCTAAATTAGAGATGCAACATACAAATATTTGGTATTTAGCCTATACTGCTGAACGCAGAATATTAATTTCGGACGAATAATGGAAGAATCGTCTGCCGAAGACAAAACTTAATTCGTTTACATCCATCTTTCTTGTTTTCTGCCCTGGAAAGGGTTTATTCGATTAACAAAATAATAATGAAGATAAACAAATTTGTGAAGGGTCCGATTAAAAGAAAAATCATTTTGTGAAGGGTCCGTTTTTAAGTTAAAATATTTTGTGAAGGGTCCGTTTTTATGAAAAGATATTTTGTGAAGGGTCCGTTAACGGACCCAAATTTCTTCTAAACAGACCCCTGTATATGGTCCTATTTATCCAATCTTCGAATTTATATTATATATCGTCTAGTTTAATCAAATGATACACGAACGGAAACAGGTGCAAACCGGTTTCAGTCGCTTAAAAATATTAAAGCTGTATAGAGCCACCGAATAATTAGGATTTTACGTAGAGTCTTTTAGTGCGTCTAATAAGTTTGCCAGGCACTGTAAATTGTCTAAAGAAATCAATTTCGAAATATTTTTCTAGCTAATTCCCAATTGAAAGTAGATAAGCTTTTAGAAGGATTATAAAAGCTTAACTTTATCAAATTAAAACAAAAGCTAAAATATTTCTTTTGTTGTAAAAAAAAAAAAATTCTTCACTTTCATTTAAAATTTGAATTTCATACTCCTTAAGCTTTGATTTAATGCCTAACATTTAAATCTTAAGGAATTCCGAAGTTTAATTCTACAAAAGGATTAAGTCGAATTAGATCGCCAACCCTAAACTAAAGCTCGATATCAAAGCCAACTTTTCCCTTTCATGTTTAGTGAATATTCTTTCTTTTTCCCTATGGTCTTATGAATCTTTTCTTTTCTCAGAATTATATAATCTCATTATGCATGGTTAAAGAGCTTCATATATGCGTATGATTTCATTTTCATTAGCTCCGTAATCATATTTACGGGTGATATATTTCGTAGCGAAAAATCAATTTAGTTTCGTTGATTTAATTCCACGACAACTACTGACTTTAATCTCAGCAACTACTCGCACTTGATTAACTAATAAAACGCTTAGCGTTAAGATGCTTGTGAGCCTTACACGAGTTGTTAAGATGACACTTTATTCACTGTTTGTTTTATGCGTACTAAAACTGAGATAACTGATTAGATTTTTTCTTTCTTTCAGAAAACTGCCACAATCATAGACTTTTTCCCTCTGATGAGTTTATTCAAAAAAATCCTGAAGTGGATAGAACAATTTTAGGTGAGTTTAATTACATATTATTTATTATATTTTTCACAGTCAACTTCACGTGGAAGTTACATTTTCATTAAATTACAGGATGCTCATAAATACAGGATGCTATTCCTTCCACTATTTTTTCAGTCTATCCGCCTAATTAATTGAAATTAACATTTAGATAATGTTATTTGAATTTATGGATCGGAGAAATTGTAATGATTTAGAGCAATAAATATGTCATGATTACGGTTAACGTGAACAAATTTTGGTTTTTCTGAATTTTAACAGCTATTTCTTTCAAATTGATCACGATAAAAGTTATAAAATTGAGTGGGGCAATACTTTTTTGCTTGGAAAATGGAAGATGCTGCATACAGATTTGTATGCTTTCATTTTCTCCCCTCGTTTTCGTTAAATAAACCCGTCCAATAAAGCAGGCTCGTTCATTCGTTGAAATTACATGAAGTACCCTTTTCTTCCTCTCTGCCTAGCACCGTCGTTTTTCATGCTATAATCAATATTCCTACGTCATTTTTTATTTTATGTTTTTTGCTGAAGATCACGTTCCGAACGTAAAAAGTGGATGTTGCCTTTGGAAAATTAGTTCTTTGCAATTCTTGTAGCACCATGCGCAACTCTATTAACAACTCTGTGTCTTGTAACAACTCTGTGTCTTGTAACAACTCTGTGTCTTGTAACAACTCTGTGTCTTCGTAACTACTCTGTTATCTTGTATCACCGTGAGAACTGTATCGTTATAAATCAACACTATCTTCAACCCTTCCCTTTATTTTATTTTATGCCCGGTGTTGTCCAATTTTGAGCAAATTTGTTGTCCAAACCCATCCAATTTTGAGCTAACGACTATTAATGTTCAGCTCCGTAACCTTGCAATTTTGAACCCAAACCAGAAGACAATGAAACTTATCAGCTATTGGGACCAACTACCCTTAATGAAGGATTTTTTAATGGAACTTACCCTCATTTTCATTGAATAAAGAAAATCACAAAAACCTCCCGTGGTTAACTAGACGGCAAGGGAACTTTTAAGCATGAACAATCTACTACTGAGGGCACTGTGGTCGGTGCGGATTCGTATCATTCAGTTATCAGTGGGATTCGAACTTGTGTCTGCTCATTGGCAGGGTGAAAGCTCTATCTCCTGAGCTGTTCTTCCCATTAAATAATGCCATCTGAAATTTTATTTTGATTGTTTTAAGTGGGAGGTTAAGTTACTCAGGACTGTAATTAGGAATGTTTTTATGACCACACTGTATGTTGACAACTAATGTAGAAAGTTTGGTTTGAGAAAAATTTTGCTTAATATTTTTTGATGAGTGTCCCATAAAATCCCACGTAGAAAGAATTTGGTCAATTTCAAGTTAAATATTTCAGCATTTGAAGGGCAGTACCCGCGGTGAATTCTGAAATGTACTGTCATCAACTGGAATGATTCACTCACACGGAAAAGAACAGAATTGTCCAGAAAACCGCCAAAAAAAGTCGCCTGCGCAAATTAATATTTTAAGATAACCCATTGACTAATTCAAAAGAGGATTGCTTAATTTTGCTAGGTTGCTAGGCAACCAAGATCTGACCGTAAAAAAATTTAAATAATGTGAAATAATATTGAATTAAATGCTTTTTATTCAATAAAAATTTTATTCAAATTTCTTTGCTAAAATGCAAATTGTTTTTTAGACGACTGAAAAAGAAACATGGTATTTTATAGTTTAAAAAAAATAAAAATAAAAAAATAAGCAAACGATTATTAGCAAAAAAAATATGAATGAAATTTTACGCTACGCGCGCGAAGTCAAGTTCCTCGCAAGTTTATCACATTTTAATATTAAACTCCCCATTTAATTATTTCTTTATTGTCGCCAAATTAATTTTTTTTAAATTATTAATTTTTAATTTTCCTCAGCTTCTAATAAATAAAAACAGTTGAAACTTTAGATTTTTCAATTGAAAAATATGTAGATTAATATGGTATAAAAAAATTCATACCTTATAATTGAAAATTTTTTCATCCTCAATTTAATTAAATAATAAAAAATAATTAATTATTATTAAAAATTATTTTTTTCATTAAATTATCTTTGGGTGAATGATTTTTATGACTGGGTGAAATTTTCTTCGAATTGCTTTATTAGTTTTAAAAATATGGCTAAAAACGTAAAAAGTGAAATTAACATTAAGNTATATGTATCTCCTATAGCCCAGATCCTATGTGTCTGATTTCGTAACTTAATTAATAGTTAGCACTAATTAATTAGCATATTTGAGGTCACCCTCAGGAACCATTAATATTAACCCTTAGTTCGTGAAAATCCGATCATTAGAACGAAAGTTATTCAGGGTGATATCTTTTTTTTTTGCGTACTGTACATACATTGATACAATACAAAACAAATAACCATTCATAAATTGTAATATACACTCGCATGATCGAGCATGACACTCGTTGGAGTCGGAAGGTATGAAACAGCAGTAGCAGAATAAACAAAAGGAAATGGGTTAATAAAGGGTATGGTTCCCCCCTATATGTAATCCTTGCAGCGCGATTTCATGCTTTAAATAAGGCAGTTTATCATTTCCTATGGTAATTGTCCTGTGACAATTTCGTACCTTCCGACTCCAACAAGTGTCACGAACTATCATGCGTGTGCATTACAATTGTTGAATGGTTATTTCTTTTGTATTGTACCAATGTATGCACACAGCAAATTTCGTTAAAATTCGATTACCAGTTCTAGAGATAATAGATCAAGTCTGCAAATTATCTTCATTTCTTGTCCCACTGTAGATAAGGTAAGGAATTTCAGTTAGATCATGTTAGAGAAAATCCCTTAAGGTGCTTTTTTTCATGGGGTGTTTTTAAAAAGTGCTTCATTTTCCCTTTTCGAAAAAGTGCTTCGTTTTTTCCTTTTTGAAAAGGAGATTTTTCTCTTTACCAAGTCGATTTTCGCCACGTATTGTGCAAAAGCTTGCTCTTCACATTGTTTTATTCAACGCTTTCACAATTACTTCAAAGACAATGCATTTCGGCGTACCGTGGGTTCGTAGCGTATGAAAGCGCCATTCATTTTTCATGTTTGATGAATTACTTGCGGGTCCGCGAGTACGTGTACTGAGCTGGGTTTGGTGAGATTCTTACACTCTCATGTGCAACAACTCTGCTGCATTTTGCAAGATATTATCTAATTTTGGCTTCATTTTCCACCCTCTGAAATCGAATCTAAGAATCTTTCGATCTTCTTATGGTGGCTAATAAAATCAAGAAAAGAGTTCTTTGTCAGAAACTAGTTATTTTATCATGATCCTGTAAATTCTTTGGAAACTATTTATATTTTGGTATATTTATTAATCTTAAAAATATTCTTTCAGTGCTTTAAGAGTACTTAAAAGGTGCTTGCTTTTTGTTGAAAGATTTGGCTACCCACCCTGTTAAAGCTTTAATTCGAGTTTATGACAATCATACGCTGACTTTTTTTATTTGTTTTACCGAAAGAGCTTTAAAAAAATTTAAAGGGGAAAAGTGAGAATTAAAAAAATAAAATTCAGATGTTTTAGTTCTTTATAGTTAAAACAATTGAATAATAAACTTTACGTCTTATATATAAATAAGCATCGACTCGATCGATATATTGGCGATGTTCTTGAAATATTCTGAAGATTCCGTGCTCTCGACGAAACAATTCTCCTTGTTCGAATTCTCAGAACGACAAATGACAATCGGAATTGTTCTTTTTTCCAATTTATATGCAAATGGTTCTTAAGTTTCGAGAATTTCTAGACATCGTTAGTCGAAATTAGGGTGGATTGTTTTCTAATCTAGATGTTATATTTCCTTCTGTCAAGGCAAGTTGGGTAAGACATTCAAGAAAGTGATTTGTTTCCGAAATTGTGTCTAGTAAGATTACTAAAAGATTCGAGGATTTGTTAACGTTTTAATGTGTTATAAATAAAGTCACGATTATTGGAGATTTGACGTCAGCATTTATGTCTGCGATGATGTATTAGAACAAAAGCTGTTAGAGGAAAATTTTGTGCACAGAAAGTCAAGATTTGAATTAAAGTAACCGAGAAAAAAGAGAGTTATAAATAAACGTGGTGCATAGCGTTTTTTAAAAAGTACTTAAAGGTGCTTATTTTCTATTTTCGTTTTTTAAAAGCCCTTAAAGGTGCATTTTTCATGGGGTGTTTTTAAAAAGTGCTTAATTTTTCCTTTTCGAAAAGGGAATGTCGATTGTCTCCGTGTATTATGTAAAAGCGTGCTTTTCACATTGTTCTATTCAACATTTTCACAATTCATTCAACCACTACCGGTGTACCATCGGTGAAAGCACCCATCATTTTACATTGATGAAATACTTACGAGTGCGCATGCGCGTTTACTGATCTGGGTTCGGTGAGATTATTGCACTCTGATGTGCAACTCTGCTGCATTTTGCACGATATTCTCCATTTTCCGCCCGCTGAAATTGAATAAAAAAATCTCGTGATCATTTCATAATGGCTAATAAAGAAGACAAATTACTTTGTATTTTGTTAATGTATATAGTACTTAAAAGTATTTTTTGAGTGCTTAAATGATTATTAGAGATGTCCACTTTTGTATCTGTGATGATGTACAAGAACAATAGCTGTTAAAGATAAATTGTATCCAAAAAAAGCGAAATCTGATTTAAAATAATTTGTTTCCAGGGGACTGTTTAGAAGAAATTTGGGTCCGTTCACAAAATATCTTTTCATAAAAACGGACCCTTCACAAAATATTTTAACTTAAAAACGGACCCTTCACAAAATAATTTATCTTTTAATCGGACCCTTCACAAGAGACATTCGATAGACATATGTGTGTTATTGTAAATGGACGAGAAAAAATTGATTGATGCTGAGTGTTCAGCTATTATAGTTATTTACAAATCTACTGGCAATCGACGTATATTGATCTAATATTTTGTTAATCATGTTTTTGTGCTTTAATTCTAAGGCTGAGTTTGATCTCATTTCAT